GAATAAAGGTGGTTGAACCCGTTAAGGCACACTACATATGTAGTGTGCCTCTAGGTTGGAGTACATTCAGTGGATGAGTTGGATCTCGTTATCGGATTGTTCATCTATTTGATTTAGTTGAGGTAAGACCTAGAGGATTAGATCTAAAATCTGCATATCGTAAAGTCCTTGTCCACGCTGCTGACAGTCATTTCTTTGGGATTTCTTGGAAAGGTGATGAATATTTTGACAGAGCTCTTCCTTTTGGTCTTAGGTCAGCTCTAATCATTTTTAACGCTGTGGCTGATGGGCTTGCCTGGGCCATGATTTGTTCTGGGATAGTGCATCTTATCTTTACTTTTTGATCCTTTGGAACCTCTTTGGCACCTCCCTTTTGGTCTGTGTCTATTGGGAAAGGCAAGAATTAAGGGTTCTGGCAATTTATGATCATATTATTGAAGTAGTAATAGGTAGACGAGTCCTATTAGCCTGGCCAAGTGATCTCTTTAAACCCCTAGTGACATAATGTAACCAATGCCAAGAGTCAGTTTGAGGAGCTTACAAACCTGCCGAAATTGGCAAATGACGTAAAGCTGACAGATAAGCAGAAATAGTCTTTACTTGAAGACCCTGGTTTGCCAGGAAAGCTGTAAAAAGACTGAGTGTTCTCTTAGTAAGAAAGATTAAGTTGAGAACAAAAAGACAAATATCGTTTTTGAGCTGTCGAGTAAGACGATTTTGTGGAGTCAGCTAAACCAGAGTTAAAGAGGCTTTACAATTAAACCCCTACATGCACAATGGCTTGTTAACCGTTATAACGTTTTCATTACAACTGAGGCTTGTGCTATTACATTAAAGGGGTGGGGATAAGTGCACTCCTAGACGGGACAACGATCCATTTAAAGCTATAAACATGTATGAATAACTATACTGGCATACAAACAACTATATTATGCAATACATACATGTACGCTGTATATTTAATAATTTTTTTCAATGATCAAAAAATTAAATCAAATACCAGCCAAATGTAAGCATCATGAAAATAGCTATAATAAGTACACGCTCATAACAGAGTCTCCTTAAAATATTAGTTTTTACACATCACCCCTCAAATAATGTACATACCATATTTCCTTGAAATTTTTTCACCCTTAAATTATATCCGTACCATTAAGAAGGCTGAATGAAATAACATTTGCCCTTGAATTATTACCACATGTTCCGAATTAGTCTTAGTTATTAGTTAGTTTATTGGAATGAACATTTGTCACAATTGCCCTTGCCAAGTGTAGGAGTGACACAAGGGTAAAGTACTCACTTTGTCTGTGTGTTAATTGCAACATGGCAAATTTTTCTGTTTTAATGCTGTTACTACTATCTGCTTAAATGTAGGGGAGTCTCATGATCATTACTGCTGCACAAAAAGCAGTTATTAGTCGCTGCAGGATTTTACTTCAAGTAGGGCATGGGTGAGACATAGGAAGTTGGAATTCGTCACAAAGGAGGTGTGTTTATGACCACACCTGCTTTTGTCAATCAGGTAGAGCTCTTAATTCTGTTTTTTGGGTGGCTTTGAAAAAAGCCAGTTGAAAGAACTCTTGCTCACTCATAGAAGAACTACTCTGCTGTTTTTGAGTTCCAGAGAAAGCTTCACTACCATGTCATCTAGCTTATCCTATAGTTTGGTGGTAATCCTGATTCAGTCGTTCCTGAGACATGGTTCACTTCAATTAGATCTTCAACTTCCATAATGAAGAAAAGGAACTCTCGGCCATTACTGTAGTGAGTCTGATAGTCATAGTGATCTGATTTGTCTCCAGTAACAAAAGGAAACACTCCATTACTTTGCACAGAGTGAATATACATGGTTAATGGGAATGCCTCTCTTAAGAATGTTGAAGTAGTGAGTAATTCTGATCTTCATCTATTCCATAGTGGCTAAGAAAGGCTAAAGAGAAGAGAGATTCAGGAAGGTACTGGAGTTGGGTACAAGGGCTGGAAGGGACTTTATAAATGAGAGATTTAATACACTAAATTTGTCATTCAAGTCTGTGTCAATAGTAGCATAAAATACTACAGAACAATTCTCATCAATTGGTGCACTCTCTCCAACAGGTGCTTCAATAACGCTATGTGAAAGAGATGTCTTCTTCTAACTGGTAGCATTACTACTTCATGAGCTCTAGCTATGCTCACAGCCTTATTCATATCTTCTTCCATTCAGTGTCAGACCTGAGGCTATGCAGTGCAGTCTTCATTGCTTCAATACAACTTGCTGCTGCAGCATAACTGAGCTGTTCTGATTGAGGCAGATTTGAAAGATTTCGTGTAATGGAGAAGATCTTATCGAACATGATAAGGGAAAGAAGAAAAGGAAATAACTTAATCTGATGAAGGAGACATCGAGATTCAGTAATATGACTAACACATTCATCTGAAATATCCTCTAGGGTCGCTAGTATAGCAGTGATTGTGGTTTTTACAGTAGTATGTCTGTCTAGTCTACAGCACCACCTTGTCTCATTCAGCTTTACTAACCTTATTTCCCTCTGTTTTAGTTGATGTTGTTTTTATGAGAAGTATACTATTTGGCACGGATTTGAGGTGAGAGAAGAAATGGGAAGCATGAGACAACTATCAACTAGTGCTAGATTAAGTTGGTAAGCATGGCAGTGGACACAAACAGCTCGAGGATTATCCTGCTGCATTCGGGTCTGTACTTCTGTATGTGTGCCACTCATAGCTGATGCACCATCATAACACTGACTGACACAATTACTTATATGAAGATGTACATTTTGAAGTGCTTCATCAGTTGGAGCAGCAGCATTCATCTCTTCACAGTACACCAATCTCTCCCGAATGACACCTTTCAGAGTGTATCAAAGTAAAAAGGCCATCTGCTCCCTTCTATTATGTCCTTCGTCTTGTCAATAATGACAGTAAAGTAGTGAGCTGCTTTCACTTCTTCAACAATAGACCAGTACACTATCAGCTGGTACTTTTAACATGGCGTTCTGGTAGTCATGACCAAGAAAGATGGCACTCTTTGGTCCACTCTGTAATCTATTCCTCAAGATCTCTATGTGGCGAGACTTGAGGTTAAAAAGCCACACAATGCTATTCCCTGTTGGGCAGAGTACAACAGTACCTCCATTAGATGCAAGACAAATTGTTGGTTCACATGTTCATGTCTTGCACTAATCAATTGATTGGCAATGGAGAAATCTATAGCAAAGGTTGGTTAGCAGATGTTAAAGAAATTGACTGCCTCTCTGTGTTTATGTGAAGAGTCGTGAATTGTAGGTACACTTCTCTTTCTTTTGGCATGTTTCCAATATGAAAACCCACCATGACATAGTCTCCTCTCATCATTGCTTCCGAAGAAATGGCAAGGAAAACAAAATACACAATCATGCTCTAAAGAATACTCCATCCAAGGATATGAGCAATACCAGCTAGTACACTATGTTTTCAAGCTGGGCTGACTTGTCGTTCTTTATTTTTCCCTATAGCTCCTGGTAGAGCTTGTGATGAAAATGTAGAGAGCAAAGATGCTGGTCCAGTATTGACGACAGGGGTAGAAGTGATAGTAGTAGACGTAGCGGGAAGAGAAGGTGAAGGAGGAGAAAAAGTAGGAGACGAGGCAGCAGCCGATCGAGTTACACTGGACTACAGTGATTATGAGTTGTCTTCAGCTGATGCAGTTACAAGTGATTAATGTATTAAAAGTATAAATTACAGTATTAACACTTATAACAGTATGCATATGTAGTATTATTTCAGCTCTATACAGACAATTCTTACTTTTAAATAGGTTCACTGTTGCTCCTCTAGGAAGGCTTGCTGACAAATGAAAGCAATGAAGCTTGTTTTTTAGCCATGGCAATTTACAAGAATCGAGTGGCAACAGAGATCAAAGATGACAAAACTAGAACAAGGTCTCAAGCTTGCTGTAGTTTAAGTTACTGTAGTCAAATTAGTAAATGTGTCTCTGTAGTGGCTCACTGTGATTGGTCTATGCAGTTAGCATCTCCTCCTCAGGCTCTGCTAATATTATTACCTTGTTGAACAAATTGAAAAGACTTTGTAACAATTTATATTATTAAAATGAACTTGTAATAATTAACTATGTAAGGTCAATCTAGTTAAATCCGTAGTTCCTCTTCACACATGCGGTAAGGATGCAGGTGGGCGGTAAGTTAATTTGGATTACAAATTTAAATTATAATGTCACTAAATATTAGTAACAGGCAAATTGAGAAAGTAGCAATCGATTCCAAATACTTACATCTGCACATCCACAGAACCATGTGTTGTCTTTAGTACTCTTGAATAGCAACAATATATGTCACACAATATCAGATTAATGATTAAGTATAATATAACACTGTTAACACTTAACACATTATAACTTCTGGTTGAGAAAAAAATAAGGTACATATTCTTTGGTGAGATACAATTTCTTTTTTCAGAAACTAGGACTCCTGCCTAAGAAAAAAGTCTTTCAGAAGGAACAGATGAAACTGAAATACATAAAAAAGGTCTTACAAGTACTTTTAAGAATGGGAAACGGCACGTGTTCTCTTTCCACCATTCAAGAGGATCTTTATTTCTACAAATGACAGCTTCCTCGAAATATCACCTGACTTCTATAGTTGCCTCAACATTAGAAGTTTGATGAACTTGTGACTCCTTAGCCTTCAGGTCAAATGAGTTCCAAATACTTTCAGTTGAGACCTCTTCCATGTCAGGTGACCTAGAATCCTGATCACTTGAGCAGATTGATAGTTTGGGAACAACTGTTTGTAACTTTGTTTTATCAACAAAGGAAAATTTTTAAAACAAGGATGGAGAAGAGTACTGACTGCCATGACATAGTGGGTCTCGATAGCTGTAAACCTGTCATTCAATTCTGAGTTGAGGGATCCAGCAAGTACTGAGGAAGGATTGGCTCTATAAGTAAACTACAGTGCTGTTGAAGAATTCTTGTTAAAGGAACTATCATTGAAAATATTGCCCTGATATGTTCTCTGTGGCTTCTAAAAAGGGCTTCAATAGTTGTAGTGCTTTAGAAATTGTATCCTTCTCCTTAGCTTTCAAACAAAGATCACTTTGATTCACCAAACAGAGAGTAGTTGTTATAAATTCAAATTGCTTGTAAAAGTGTTCAAGCATGATGTAATTAGAATTCCAACAAGTGGAAACATCTTTTGACAACTTGTGCTCTGGGAGTGAAAGTTAGCATTGGATCTCTACTAGCTTCTCTGTTAATTTAACACTTTGATGAAAGTTTGCAATATTTTTACACTTTGTTTGTACAGCAGAAAGCTCAGGACCACCCTCAATTGAGTTCAAATTACAACATTTAGAAAATGTGCAAAGCATGGTAGATGACTCCAACAAGTTAATGAAACAGCAGCCACCATATTAGCAGCATTGTCGGTGACCACAAAGACTATTCTATCTTGTATATTCCTGTTGTGAATTAATTATTCATTATTATTGATTTTTGCAATTGTACATGCTCAGATTAGAGTGTGTCTTGTTCATGAAAAAGAGAAGTCATAGTCTTGTGAGAATCTTGATCCTACCTAAGGAGAAGAGATAAAGAGAATAATACAGTCCTCAAATACCCCGACAATTCCAGCTTTCAACAACTTGTTGCAACTCCATTGATATAATGGCTGCCATGTGATCTAAGCAGAAATCAAACATTGCCAAAAGAATTAATAATCACTTTTTATTGCAAGCAGAGGTCTTTGCTAAGTGCTGTTCTGCTTGCTGCAGCAAGCAAATGCAATAATAATGAACAATAAATTTTAATAACTAGTGACTTATTAACTGTTATTAATATTCAAGGTGTGGTTGGGTTGCTTAATTTGGAATCGTTTAAAACAATTCCCACTTGTTTTACATATGAGTACAATTCCATTCGGAATTGAAGGATTGTACCCAGAATTGCCCATTACTACTAAATTAACATTATCCAAAATTGTCAAAATGAACTCAACATGTACAAAGTATAACAGCACACAAATTACACTGAGGATTCTGCTCTTTGGCACAATAATAGGTTATTAGCAGTCTGTATGTTCCAAAAACATACATAATTACATGGTTCTTTTAGGTGCGATTCCTTTCATTATGAGATGTATTCCAGACTCCCACTTAGCAATCAAAAAATCTCGAAATCAAAACCTGGCCTAAAGTACATGTGGTACTAGCGTACCTTCTGAGCGTTTGTTTAGCAAAGGAGGATAGGTTTCTAGTCACTTTTAGGTTTGCCTATCTCAAATTAATGTTAACAGACTAATTTATTTATCAAAAAAAGTAAATTCTAGTACTGAATAAGTGGTTACTTTTGCGGATTGCAAAATTTGTAGATTGTTTCCTGATTTGCAAAAAACAATGAAAACCAATTTAATACGGTACCTACATGGCACACCTGGTAGAATTCGCGAAAATAAAATCCATGAATTGAAATTTTAGTAGATTCCACGAAATAAAGGACCCACAAAAATTACTGGCTATACGGTAACATTTAATTATAATAATTTTTGCAATAAATAGAATTATTGTGCTAATTCCAAGTGTAATAATTGCAGACAATAAATTTTGTTATCGTCCAATACTAGGTTGACTAGTAGCATATTAACTTATCATTTCATATCAGTGTAGCTAGGTTTTGAAACAATTTGAACAATTCAAGTCAGTACATCCTTAATCAATACATTACTGTACAATGTACATGTACATGTACAAGTACATTTATAGTATAATACTCTTACCATAGTACTGGCCCTGATCTGAATGTTAGGATTACACAGTAGTTACACTACTAGCAGATGGATCAACTTCTTAAATTGGAAACTGATAAGTACTGTATCACAAAAAATGAAATCAAACATTAAGCGAATCTCCACACAAATGTAGTGCTAGAAATACATGTACCTAGAGCTAAAACATAAAAATAATTAATAGCAATTCTCTCATTTCTTCCGGTAGATAAAGTATTAAATGAACTCACTTAGATCAGCTATATATGTAAGTGGCAAAGTTACAAATCAAATCAAAACTAAGGATGACAATTTAACACTACAAGAGATAAGGAGATAAAAGACAGGAAAAATATAATAATCACAAATGGTATACCTCAGTGTGTAATCAAGTAATAACAAATAATCAGAGTAATGTAGAACATTAAGTGGGCGAGCTTAAGCAAGCAAAGCAGTGTACATACAATGGATCTTGACAGACTAACAATACTGCATGACTGCATTATGCAAGGGGCTCAAAACTTATTGAACAATGGATGTACACATACATGTACATGTACATATAGTTCTTATCAAACTTGGCAATATCTGCAGCAGTTAAAGTTAACTCGCTGATCAAGCATTAAAGATACCTAGAAGTAGTCACTGCACAAATGATATAGCTAAGTATTGCACTCCAAGTGTAACGAAAAACTCAGTTTTATAACGACATGTCGATTTAAAAACTAAGTTGCACATGCACAGTAAATTTAGTAATGGCATCCAATGTGCCCTATACGACTGTTCTTAAAAGGAAAGCATGTTTCACATTGGAAAATGTCAGTGACTTGGAAGAGCTCCTGCAAAGTGTATCTAGAGTTTTCAAGGACATTTTTACTCAGGAAGCTATAAGGCGGATTTACAATATGACATTAGGCCAGCGTACCGTCAATTTTTAATCAAAAACGTGGGCGATTTGACCTTTTGACGCATGCTTTCCGCTGGAATAGAACCAGATTCTATTCCAGCGTCAACGTAACGTCAGGACTAGCGTAATATTGTAAATCCGCCTATATCGGCGAGTCAATTAATAATTAGTATCAATATGAAAAGTGGAATGGGATATTTTGGGATGCCACTTGAAATATTTTTGATAAATCAGTTGTTAGAGTTATAGTGAATACAGCATTTTGATGCAGGGGTCTGTAGTATTTGGTAGGTGAGACAAAGCTGGTGGGGATAGAAAATAAGGTAGCACATAAATCTAATTTTTCATATGCATGATGATGCAAAATGCACCACAAAATTCACAAGGCTTAAAAAAGCCACACAGTACTGTGGTAATCACAAGGTGAGTAACAATACATACTATGCACTTATATATCAGCGACAATCTGACTAAAATTTATGTACTACTTGTAAAACAATTTCACCTTAAAATTTTTTGTTTAGTTGGAGCAGGGAGGTTATACGATTTTAATCCCTCATTAACTCATAAACATGAAAGGGAATTATTCATGATATAGTTTAAATACATGTAGATGTACATTTAAAGTACCTCGTCCGTTATTTTGCTGTCATTAGTAACTCCATCGTCTATAAAGCCTTTGTCATTCTAAAAGTATTTCTGCCCCAAGGGCCAAGTGCCCTTCAGCAGGAACCTCGACAGGACCAATCCACGAGGATGAGTCTCATAGTCACATATACCGATTCTTTATCGATATAAACGATACTTTACGGAATCGATTTGAATCATTATCGAAAATTTTATGCAATTTTCATCGATCTATTGACCACGCCTATTTATTAAGGTTAAATAACTAATTTTAATAAGTAATTGCACTGTTGAACTGCAAGAAAGAGGTAACTGACCAGTTGTTAGCTCAGCCTCAGCCTACCCCAATAAGAAGAGAAACAAGGCTCAAGAGCATGGAAATGATCTTCTCTCATGTCCAGTACAGTGCCAAAATTATTAGCCACACCCTTGACACACCCCTAAATGAAGATGTGGTTATCGTATCGTTAATAATCGATATTTCCTCAAAAAGTCAATTATCGATCGTTATCGAAAATTAAGAAAATTGGCCATATCGCCCATCACTAAGTCACACACAAACACTAAAACACGTGGTTAGAAGGCGGGTTTTGTTTGTGCACATGCGTAAATCTGAAGGCCCCCATCACTAGGTAACATGTTTCCTGCGTTGCTTTGATCTTGTAAGGCCAGAAATAGAACAGCCTTTTATTTCTGGCAACATGTTGCTTACAAGATCAAAGTAAGCACAAATGTTGCAAGCAACATGTTGCCTAGTGCATCGGGGCCTTTAGCATCATCTTAAATATCTTTGTCATATTTAATTGCTTACATTTTTAATCCATGATTTAGTTGCATCATGTCCCTTAACTCAGATTTTAGTAACCCTGGCCAGCAGACTTAACAGGAAAAGAAAAAATTGGCCCAGTTAAGCCTACATTAGTGTTCTGGCTAGTGGCTATACCAGTACAGTATACATGGAGAAGTGTTGAACTAAAGAGAATATAATGCAGTGGTGATGATTTCATGACTTACTGCATGCGACTATAATTGTGTGTACATGTACATATACATGCATGTGACTTACTAATTATAGCTAATAAAATTATTTGTATTATCACAATCAAAATGATCCAGAGCAGACTATAGCTTAATTGTAGCAAGAATATTATATTATGATACTTGTTTATGATAATACAATCAATTTTTTAACTTTCTTGTTTGTCTTCTTTTAGGTCTCCTGTAATGAATACAACATTTAAAACTCCTCTTGTCAATTAAGTTATATTTCTGTTATCTAATTATTATTATTTCTGTTTTCTAACAAAATTAATTGTTTATTTTACTTACCTTTTGACAGTTTAGGATGCTTTCTTTTCAGCTACCTTGCATGCACTTCTCAGGAATAGGCAAATAGCTAAAAATTAATAAATACTCTTGAAAATTGTACCAAACAACTGCCTAAAACTTAATGCTCAACAAAAACAGCACCGATCATTTTCTTAAAGGTAGAAACTAGAACAGTTTTTTTCTAATTATTCAGTGTAGGGTTGAGCCTCTGTTGGATTGTCTGTAGGGTTACATCACCATTAAAACACCCACATGTCAACACTACACTGCATGCAGTTAAAGTTGTCCGACTAAAGGCATGCACTACATTTAGCATAATGCTCATTCAATTTAACTGTGTTGATTTAAAACATTGAAACCAATAATCATCAGTGCTACATATGGCCATTTTATACCTGCAGTGTAGGGTTGATATGTCTGTGTTATATTAGTGATACAAACTTACAAAGTTTTGTTTCAATTCGATTTATAGGTTCAAACGAGACAATTCAACAGAGGCTCAACCCTGCACTTAATTTCTTAAATTTTCTAGTCATTAAAATAAATGATATAATGTTCACCATGTTATTAAAAAAATAATGATAATTGTTGTCACATAGTAAGCAAAGATGTAAGAACATGCTTATGGCCAGAGGTAATGTGGTTATAGCCTGTACAAAATTTTATTTTATGTAGGTTATGAAACATAATAGGAAGAGTGGCAATTATGAAAGGGCAAATGAAGCTTCTCACAATGAATCTTTAGACTTTTCAATGAGAAATGATTTATAACTGGATAATAGTAGGTCTATTCTGAAGCTGCTCATAAATTAAATTTTACATTGTTAAGGAAACTGAGTTGAAAAACTATTTTACTTGGTCTAGAGTTAATGAGTTTCCTGTCACCTGTCCAGTTTGAGGCTTCAAGTTCAAAACCAAGAAGATAAATTTATGGTGTAGTTGAATTGCTGAGTGATAGAAGTCCTCATCATATGTAGATCTATGTTGCTTGAGATTCTCCTTGTAAGACCCTTAAAAGTTTTTATGACTTTAGTGCTGCTGTTTAAGTATTATCATTTTAGTATAATTTCAAGTATCATTTAAACTATAGTATTATTTCATCATCATGATGAATTAAAATATTAATTATTTTTAACGTCAAAAAGGAAGTCTTGAGGGTCATAAAGTTTCTTTAAGCTCAACACAAGTCTCAGACAACCAAGACCAAACCTATAAAAAGAACCTTTATCACAAATCAGTGTGTATACTTATGAGGAGTTTCTGTTGATATATGAACCTTGATCCATTGGTGTTAACCCTTCAAAATATGAGTCTGACAGTATTAATGTTTCCAATTAAGATACATCTTATTTGTTCAAATGCTTCGGATCTTCAAAATTATCTTCAGTAAAACAAATCAGGTAATACATAATGTATATGTAACTAAAACAAAATCTAGTCCTAAATCAATGAGTTATTTCTAAAGAAATAATGCAAGTAAAGTTTCTATCACACATAAATTATATAAACTAAAGTCCATTTGCATTCGCTGAGCCCAAGAAGTGAATATTAACCCTACTGAATAATAATAATAATTATCACAATGCAATTTTGAAAAGTATGGCTGTAATTTCTACATAGATTATACAACTAACTTGCTTGTTTTTCCTATATTAAAACGGCTTCAATTTAAATTGTACATTCTGAGAATGAAATAATAATCTCAATACAGGATATGGTCATGCTTCTATTAGACAAGTAAAATCATTACTGATTATTCCACACTCAATTATTGTATCCAGGATGGCTATATGTAGATCAAATCATGCATTCACACTCGTCTTCAATCAAAATCAAAGTTAGATTTAGCCAAGCTACTTCCAGGTGATTTGAATTGATTAGATTCTAATCAGACTACTCTAAAATTTTATAGTATTCAAATGTACAGTAGAAATACCAATACTTTGTATTTGACTCCAACCCTGATTCTGTTTATACATTTTCATATCTTTGGCAAATTAATGCAGTTTAATTCACTATACTACAATCAAAGTGAATTTTATTTTTGTACCTATATGTTATGGATTTTATTATGATTTTGAATCTAAGTGGACAAGTGTGAAATGAACATCACTAATGACATTGTACACATCAAGTACTTAAAAGCACTTTGAGAGTAATTGGAGTTTTCTGAAAGCATTTAAGTATCATCACTTGTGCAAAAAGTACTCTACTTGAATGGCCGGCCATCTGGTGCCCAAACACAGTTACGAAAGTGCTAAAACCATTTAAAACTTAAGCAATGCTATATTAAAATGCTTCATACAACAATAGAACACATATGAGTATCAAGCATAATTAAAACAGCCTATAATGATAAAAAGAATCTTTACTTTTCACACTGCATGCACATGAAAATGGCAAATATTAAATTTGTGTATTGAGTACATGTATACTGTCTTTAAAGCATTGACACAAAAAATGCTTCAGTACAAGTCAAACACAAGCAGACTTGGGATGAGTACATTGGTATTTTAATTTAAAAACAAGTCAGTGGTGAAGCACTTTTGTTATGTACTTACCGCTTTCAATCAAAGCATTCATGTTTTACATATTATTATAGCAACTAATGTAATGCCAATGAATTATGCATTATGATTAATGCTATTTAAATCAAACAATTTACTTAACAAATTATAGGGTGGGGTGAGTACAATTGTATAATGAGGCATTCAAATGCATACTCATTTTGAAATTCAGCAAGACATATTTATTGAAAGAAAGGACTCTGCCCCAAGTCCTAAAATGAAATATTCAGATTAAATCATGTTTGAAAAGATGCATTCCTAAGGTGCATCTGCCTTAAAACTGCATGTGTGGGTAAAAAAGTAACTTAATGGTGACATGTAAAATGAGTATAACAGTTTATTATGTTCCAGTATGACAATACATGCATATACCTATTGCTTTTAACATAGTATCATAGTAATACTAGTTGCACTAAATACCAGTAGATCTATACCTTTTTGCCACAAGATACTGTTGTCACTTTTTAGTTCAGTACATTGGTTACTGCATATACAATATAATTTATATCTTGGAGGAATACAGCACAGCAGAGCTTTTACAGTAGCAGTTTTTTAGGTGACGGCTACAACCCAGTTCCATCCAATACACCATATACAATGAACAGTTACAGTACAGCTCACAGATAAACTAGCGTGCTGTTATAACATAATTTTGATGCTAAAATGATTTGTCTCCAAAACATGATTATAATGCCTATATAAGCATTGTAATTTATAATATAGTACTGGGCAGTTAAAACTTCAATTAATCAATCAAGTAGAATACTCAAAATTAAATAGATACAAAAGCCAATTATAACTATGAAAAAATTCAGTTTAAAGCCAATTCCCACATTCAGGTACATGCAGTGTTGAGCACGCTGACCTTCACTTTCTTCACTCTAATGTTTAGCCTCTTTGCAACCTCTTCAATTCCTGAATGATAAGGAGCACTTGTGCTTTGAAGGTCTCGTCATATACTTACTTTAGCTGTGCAGTAGTGTCCTCTGTGTCACAATCACGTTGAGTATCCCCGATGACATCTAGTCTCGTGAAAATCTATAGTCTTGAGTTGAAAGAAACTACTATACTTGGTCCAGATACAATCAAGTTTCGGGCCATCACGGACACCAAACTGTCCAGTTTGAGGCTTCAAGTGCAACAGGAACGGAAGACAACAATGACAAACAGGGACAGCCCATTGCACAACCTTTAAAAGTGGAAGGAAGCCATGAATAAGGAGATGAGAGTCTCTCAAAACCAATTAAGTATATTTATAATGTAGCTTGAGATTGTCCAAGTAAGACCACAAGGAGTTCTTATGACTTTAGAGCTGTTGTTGAAGTATTAATTATCATTTTACGATCATTTCAAATATCATTAAACTAAAGTATCATTGATTTCATCATTCAGTATCATGATGAATCAAAATATTATGTATATATTAGTTATTTTCAGTGTTAAAAAAAGGTCATAAGGAATTTCTTCAATCTCAAGACCAGTCTCAGGACACCAAAACTGTAACACTTGTAAAAAAAACTTTTATCACAACACCGATAAAATAGTTGTACTTACTAGAAGTGTCTGTAACTTCCTCCGGTGTTGACACTTCCACATGTGGGTTTGATATTCCTTCATCTACTATTATATCCGTTGAAAATAAACCTTTAACCATTTGAAATAGTCCAACTCATCACAATCACCTTCAGTACAACAAATCAGGTAATACATAAAATTAAGTACATACTATAAACTACACAAAACAAATCCTGGTCCTAAATCCAGGAGTTATTGTAAAAAATTAATGCGAGCAAAGTTGCTATCACACACATGGATTCAAAATACTAAAGTCTATCTGCATTTCAAGAAGTGTATACAGACCCCACCCAATAATAATAATAAACACAATGTAGTAATGCTGTGAAAAGTATGGCTGTACTTGCAGGTTACGAGACTAATGATGTTTGATTTTTTTAGCCATTAATATTGACAGAGGCATTACAGTGTCTGCCATTATTCCTATAACCTGCCGTCAACTTGCTTCTTTAGTACTAAGGTAAATGGGACAAAGGGAGAGGAATGCACATGTATTACAATAATTATAAAACTTAATTGCAAGTCAAAATTTTTATAGGAAGAAAATGAGGGCTTAGGTGAATGCAAATGGACTTTAGTACCTGGCGGCTCTTAATAAGCCGTTACTCTACATGGATACATATCGTTGTAGACAGAAAATAGTATCCCTTTCTAAATCAGCATAAAGTGCATATACTACCATGTAAATATATACTGTACTTACTATCCTCAGGGGCCACGTATTCTATCACTGGTAAGTCATGTTCAATTGTTACTGCCTCCTCCTCAGAAAATGCAGATGGCATGGTATTCTCCTTATCAACTGATCCATTCCTAGCAACTTCATTGCTAAGACTTTCTAGAGGTGGTGTCTTTGCTTCAACAGACATTACTTGCTTTTGGCTTCTGACCTTGACAGACACATTCTCTGCAAAATACAAGTAAATTACATCATTCAATCTGTAGCAGAATTGAGGAACACTGGGAGATAATCATGCTTTACTCATGTATACGACAAGTAATGTAGCTATGAAACTAAGTGTTTCATTTCTTATGCATTAATATTGACAAAGATATTACAGTGTCTGTTGTCCCTATAACCTGCCAAGGACATGTACAAAATATAAAATAATAAAAAAAACAAGATTAATATAAGTAGGATTCCGAACGACCAACAGAAATACAAAATGAAAATCCTACTCCTGTGATGCAAATTCTACTCTACATTGTACTTTCAATGTTATTATTTAAGAAATTATGGATCACCTTGCCACGTAGCGAAAAATTTGCATTATGAGAGAAGGATTTTTATTTTGTATTTTCATTGGTTGTTTGGATTCCTACTTAATCTTGTTTTTTATAATACCGTATAGCTAGAACTTTCTATGGCCCAAAATTTTTGCAAATTTTGTGAATTTGATAAAATTCGTAAAATTTAAATCCTCAAAAAATAGGTAAATTAAAAGGTGTGGCTCACCATGCTTTTTCTCAGTGTAATTATAGTGAAGCACATGGCGTGTTCCTGGTATTTTAAGCAGCGTCAAAGAATAATCCTATCTTGCTTAATATCCTAATGGAGCTTTGTGTCATCATCAGATATAGTTCTGGTAAGTAGTGAAGAGCCGCCATTGATCATTAGTGTAATCAAGTAAATTTGCAAAAATAAAATCTGCAAAGGCCATTCTTTGGCAATTTGCAGAAATTTTAGGCCACAAAAATTTCTAGCTATACGGTATTTGTAATATTCTTTTAGATAGTGTCCATTGCCATTTATTGTGGTAAATAGTTATGCTGAAGGAATTCTATACTGATCAGTGTTTAGTCAAACACACTGAAGTATAATAATAATAATAATCTCAACATGTGTTCTTGTTCAAGAAGCAGTGAAAGTACTGCAATCCTGTCCCATTGATTGTTGTTCATGATTCATGATCATTGTATAACAATAATTAATTATTGTTTGTGTTTTTAAAATACAATTTGTAGATCGCATATTTAATAAAAGGAAGCGTAACAGTGTAAAATATTCCTATAATTGTTTTTATCACCTTGCATGTACAGCTGCATGGGTTTTTATTAAGACTTATGGAGGTTTTCTCTACCTTCTAATGCTTCTAGAAAAGACTTTAGACAGTATCTATGTTTTCTTGCTGTTAGAAAGCTCATAACTTTGTCCTGTGTGCAAACAACCATTTTGTTTGCCATGGCCACAACCACTTACGTAATAGAGCTCGAGTGTGGGCAGCTGGTTTCTAAGGCTTGTTATTTCTCCAATACAACATGTATAGAAGAAATGTAAGTGTTAGCATACAAATATATATATACGTATAGCTGTTGGTGAAATCAATTATAGGACGACCTAGGGGCTATGCCCCCAGGTTGTAATAATTATCACCAAGATTGCATACCTGGAACTGGAAGCCTGGAACCTACACTAAGTATTGTAGTTCATTCAAGCATAGCTAGATATAAAAAATTACTTGCTTTGTCAGTTCTGAGACCTGAGTTTGCATGGGTGGCCACACCCCAATCAGAGTTTTGTCAATTACGCTATGAAAGAGCTTAAGTAAAAGCCCAAGACCTTCATCAAACAGGCAGTTACAAAAATCTCTTTTGGGCTCAATTACAAGCTCAAGCTCTTTATCAAATGTACTTATATTCCTTTACAAGCCTTCCTTAAATGATTAATAAACATAAATTGCAGTTGTTTTGGTTCCATTAGTAATGAGCTCACTAAATGTAGTGTGGACTACTACTGTATGGGTATAAAATTTCATGGGGTATTAAATTTCACGGATTTTGTGGTTGACTTCTCAACAACAAAAATTAATACCACGAAAATGCTCACTGCGCATGCACAGCACATAAAATCAATGACTTACTGCAAGTGCACGTGCAAAAACGCGAAATTTAACCCCCTCGAAATTAAAGAATTAAGAGCTTTTCACTAAAACACAAAATTTTATGCCCTCAAAATTTTCTACCTATACGGTATTTTAATTGTCTCTCGAATTGTCCACACATACACATATTATTGTGTAATGATTACTGATAATGAGGGGATCATGACAAATGAAAAAACACCTGGGCTTTAAGGGTTCAGCCCAAGCTGAGGAATATACAACTAAGTACAAGCCCAAGCTCTTTTTTCTAAAAGGTTTTAAATCACCCTGAATATCTGCATGGGCTTAAGACAAAAAGGGCTTGATAATTTTGCACCACACGCTGCTTTGATTAACAAAATAGCAGCACAAGATAAGTATGAGTGATCCAGCAGACCCATAGTGCCCACTTCTACCTTTCTGGGAGAATGATTTGATGGGACATGCATGGACCTGCGCATGTACTGTTGGAGCAGAATGGTATAAAAATAGCATTTAGTACCAGCCAAGATTGACATACACATCAACTGGATTGACAGGAGACGAAGATGAAGAAAGTGGACTGAAGTTCACTGCCATGTGGTCGTTTTGCCGATTTTTGACTTTCCACTCATACAAGGTTTAGAGCCACACTAATGGTACCAATGAAGTCCTCTGGTCAAGATTAGGTCTCCTAAGAAGTCTGGTAAGCACAGTAGCCCGTTTCCTGGTTTAGCAAGGCTTCAAAAGTTGTGGGAGCTATATTGTTTTAGGGTGAATCCTACTTAGTAATGCTATGATGTTACTCATACAAGTATACTGCTAACATACAACATACAACTCCTTTCAACATTGGTGATTGGAGTTGACCTAAAAATTAATTGAATGTCATAATTGACACTTCTAAGATACATACAACATGCTTTATTATCACATCACAAAATGACATACATGTACATGTATAGCAAACAAAACATGTAAGAGCTGTAGTATTCAGTCTACACAATAACGGTACGCTTTACGGACACGAGAAGTTGCATAGATTCCCCATTGAAAGTGAACATTACTAAAGTATACTAGGACAGCCACAGATGCTTATACATTATTATATAGGCGGTAGCCTATATGTAGGATTGAGGTTGATTTTTCAAGATGGCGGCCGTTTTTATGATTTTCAAACACTTACAACTCTTTTATCTTACGTGGTACAGCCTTATAAATGGCTTAGATGAGCTCTCCTCCACTGAGCGATTCTCCTGGTACCTTTAAAGTGGACTGTAATGTAGTGGGAGCTTTTCTGGAGAATAGCCTGCCCAAATTCAAATTTTTTGCAAAATTCTTCAGACTTTTTCTTCTTTCTTTCATCTTCTTCTATCAACACTGAAATCTTTTATACCAGAGAGCTGCTCAAGTTGGCCTTTACATCATTCCTTTGTGCTTGGGTCAAGGATTGTAAATGACTTTTCAAAAAGGAGCAAGGACAAAGAACAAAATGGAAGACAAAATCCAGCTGCAGGCACCTTGTGGGTTTGTGGTTTGACGCCATTTTAATTTATGCGCACGTGGTCATCATGAATATAATTAAACTAACAGAATCATAACAACGTAATT